AGGCTGGAGTGGAATGGTACCATCTTGGCTCACTGCAACCTCCACATCCCAGATTCAAAGGATTCTCCTGCCTCAGCTTCCCAAGTAGCTGGGACTCCAGGCATACTCCACTGGGCCTGCCTAATGTTTGTATTTTTAGTAGAGACAGGGTTTGCCATGTTGGTCAGGCTGATCTTGAACCCCCAACCTCAAGCGATATACCTGTCTCTGACTCCCAAAGTGTTGGGATTACAGGTGTGAGCCATAACACCCGGCCAATATTTCAGGAGTGTAGCATTTACAGTGATTTTCCTGGCTGACCAAAGATTGTGATTCCATATACCAAGGACCAAAAGCTTTACCTTTAAATTTATGTGTTTAAAAAAATGAGTTATTAAGGCAGCAACTTAGATTGGGCACAAAAGTGTCATACTACTTAAAAGGTTTTGACTCTATTTAAGAGAAACAGGACAGGTATTTAATATTCCTATTCTATGTGTTCTCACAAGCCCTTAACACGGGCTGAATTATCATTTTGTCCTGCACACACATTCAACATTGAAATAGCATAAACAATAGGAGCATCGGCAAAATATTTATATTGTGTGAGGTGCTATACTAAGTGCTTATATGATCTCTTCTGAGTCTTTAAATAGTTCTGTGTTTATGATTTCTACTTTACAAATTAGGATAAGTGGGTTTAAGTTTTAAGATAGTAATCTAATTTAGCAAGCAGCAGTATTAGGATATGCAAATATTACAAATCCATATTTGAGAATGTAGCTGACCAAGAAGGTCTGCACAGACCAAGGAACCCAGAGTCAAGCACTCAGTTCCTGGCTGTATTCTTTAGGATCAGAATGGAAAAGCAAGTTTCACTTTTTATTCCAGAAACCATGTAATACCATGCACAAAATGTTGGTTTCACTTTCATGAGACACTTAAAGAAGAATTACAATAGGACAAGACATGAGTTAAGTATCTGTGAATGGATCATTAAAGCTAATGATAATTTATATTTCTATGGTGTTTTATAGGTTCAAAGGTTTGACATAGTAATTACCTGATTATCATAGTAATTGTTTGATTATTTTCATTTTTAAATTTTATTTTAAAATAATTATAGATTCACAGGACTCTGCAAAGATGGACAATTACTCATTTTTTACCACAATATTTCTACTTAAATTTAATGATCATATAATCATCACCAAATAATCTTAATCTGTCAGAGCTTGGTCTCTGAAACCCTTGTCTGGGTGTAAAATTTACTTAGCTTCACTGTTTGTTAGCGGATTGAGCTTGGGAAAATTATTTAACTTCAATATTCTTTGGTGTCCTCATCACTTTGGAAATAACAATGGAGTATATATCCTAAAATTTCTATGAGAACCTTACAAGTTTAACACAGTGTTTACATATAAAGGACTCAGTACAGTGTTTAGAACATGTGCTGTCATAAGCTTTCAATAAAATTGCTATATTATTACAGATACTATTACTTATTTTTATGGGTAATATTATTTCATTCAGAACCAATAATCCAATGATTTTGTTGTTCTCCTTGAGACCCTTTCTAGTTTCTCTAATATTTCACTAAACTCTAGGATTCAATATAGCCAATCACTTTAAGATCTAGCCAGTATCAAATATAGATTTGTATTTTACTATCTTTTGAAGAAGTTACAAATTATCTGCAGTAAAATAATAGTGCTATCATTCATTCATTCACTCATTCAAACACGTTTAGATGATGTTTTTTCTTCTATTGTTCACCAACTGTTTGATCTATTTCCAAATTCTCATAGACTTTTTTCTTTTCTTTTGAAAACTGGAAATCATAAAAAACAGTCCATAACAGCTGCTTTGAGGCCATCTACATTTGTTGGCTGCAGGTGGAAATCTCCTTCACAGAGCCTGAAATAGAAGGTTGTAAAATTTGGCCTTTGAGGGAGCCAGACCAAACCAGCATTTTGTATAATTTATCATCCACAGAACATGTTAAGGTGCTTTTGATCTTTGAAGGCAATATCTTTCCAATTGATATGGTAATTATATGTGACCATTGGTCCTTTTTGGGAATCCCAGTATCTTGCTGATTTCAATAGTGAGTGAATGAATTGTTAAGATGGTACATTGATGACTCAGTTTAATACAGAGTCTAGAACTTGTGGAAATCCAGTTGTGAAGATCAAATGAGAGAAAGTATGTGAGTGGTGCCTTGAAAACAGTAAAGCACTAAGCAAACCTAAGGCAGTTTATTATAATCATTTCCATCATGCCATATTTGTTAAATTCTTGATTTCACAACATATTGAATGTTCCATGCCTTCTGCCAAATTAAGGGGAGGATTCTACCAAATATCCTTTGCCATAAAATGCGTTTTAAAATCCATTCATATTTTTCTTTGCATTTCCTTATACACCTTTAAGAAATGTGATATAGACACAGAACTAAAAATTTGTTGTCACAGAGAATGTTGTGAAAATTTATAGGCTTTGGTTTATAGAGACTTGAAGAAGTTTTTCCACCTTCCTGGTATTTTATTGCTGTCACTTTGCATTGCTTCTTTCCTTTCCTTCTCCTCCTCCGCCAGGTTTGGTTTTAAGCTTTGGATTCAAAGAAACCCCAAAGTCAAAACAAAATGGTCAGAACTGCTGACTCTTGTTTTGTAACCGTTTTTTAGTCCAGTATTCACAGGAAGAGAGGGTGCTGACCAGAAATTGGGCCTAACTTCACCCAAAAAGTTGGCAAAGTTCTGGAATCTTTGAGTGAACTTGTGCCAAGTTAATGATATATAGTAAACTTCACCAGTTTTCCAAAAACATTTAAAATATAATTTCATGAAATAATATCATCCTGTAAAATGTCATGTTAGTACTCAACATTCAATACTAATCTGCTAGTTCTTTTTGATAAAAATAAAATAGTCTAATTTATATTTTGTATTAAATAGAGTCTCTTTTTTAAAGCCTTAGGTATATTTTGAAACTGCACATGTAAAATGTACTTGTGGCTTCATTAGCTTAGAAGTTTCCTTTGAAGATCTGTAATTAAGAAAAAGGGTACCCTAAAATCACGCTCGTCCAGTTTTGTCTCACGATTTTTATAGCTATGTTATCAACTTTCCAAAAGATTGTTTCATAATGGAAATGCTGACAAATGTGATAATAAACACGAATCCAAGGATCTTAATTGTAGTATATGTCTGCATGTAAAAATTATGTATACTAACAGGATATTTGGTTTAGTTTCCAGCACTTAATTTTGCCAAAATCTGCTTTCACATTGGGCAACTAACTGTAAAAGATGATCAGCTTAAATGACTCCTTGTTGATGGTAAGAGTTTCTGATTATTTTTAGATTCCTCAGAAAGCTTAATTATGTCCTTCAAATATGATTTCATTTGGATCTTTTTATGACTTACTTGTCTGAATACTAATAGTAATCTGATAGCTATGGAGAACTTAGTTTGAAACCAAAAGGCAGCATTCCGTCAGTAAGGAGTATATAAATAAATCGCCTCCAAGCAGCATCTCAGATGGTATTCAGATTCTAAATGTTCTTAATGTTCAAATGATTTTCAGATTTCAAAAACAAATTATTTTAATTTTCTAGAAGTGATGGACATCATTAGGTCTTTAAATAAACTGGTTGAAGTTATTAAAAAGCCAATATCTACTCATATTTTTATCCATGTTGGTTTAGGAGATAATAAATAGTAAAACTATTTTAGTATAATGGGTGTTACATACAAAAACCCTTGTATTAAAAATTAGCTGGGCATGGTGACATTGCCTGTAATCCCAGCTACTTGGGAGGCTGAGGCAGAAGAATCACTTGAATCAGGGAGTTGGAGGTTGCAGTGAGCCAAGATAACGCCACTGTACCCCAGAATGGCAACAGAGCGAGACTCCATCTAAAAAAAAAAAAACACAAAAAACTCTTGTGTTACAGGTGCACTGATTTTATGGATCTAACATGAGGAAAACTAAAGTTAAAATAATGTGTAGAAAAGTCAAGGGTCAGAATAGGGAGGTATTCTCTATTTACGTTGAGGATGTGGATCATTTTGTCTTATCTCTATTGATATTTGATGTAAGGAATAAGTCAATTCCTTTATATGTGTCTCTGATCCTTACCTGGCTTCAAATTACTCTGAGTAAAATTATGAAAATATCTTAAAAGACTACATTTGAGGCAGCTCCTAAACATGTAAAACTTACAAATAGCAAAGCATTTATAAACTGTTAAAAATTTTTTATAAGAAGCGTGGATATAATTCCTCTAGTGATAACAAGAAAATAACTTTTCATTTAGAAGTTTTTAAGGTATTATTTACTAAGTTGAAGAGGTATTCACTGGAGGAATATTATTTGCTTACTAGGAGCAAAATATATTAGAATATGAGGGGGAAGACTAAGGAAAATGGGTGGCTGTATTTACTCTTCAGGACCCAGGAATGTTGATGGTCCCTGGGCTACACAGTTTTGCTTTATTTCTGGTTTTCAAAACTGGTTCTTTCAAAAAAAAAAATAAGAATTCCTAGATTGGAACTATTTTTCTTTCCTTTTACTTATTCAACACTTTCAAATGATTTTTTTTTTAAAGAATGATGTTTAATTTCCAGCAGAACTTGCACTGTTAGAAGAATAAGAAAAAACAACACTCTTTGGGGGTTTGTTGTTGTTTGGTGTTAGCTATTTATATTTCTTTATTTTACCTGTTTATCCTAATGTTCTTATGGTAGAATTGGAAAAAATCTAGGTGGAAAGACACAGTAAAAGTGAAAAACATTTTGGGAGTGGTGGCTCATTTCAGAACTAATCCAGGTCCTATGGAAAGGAAAACTAACAAAGGTTTTAAATGTTCGAATGTACCAATGACAGAGCTTGGAAACAGGCAAATTCCTGCAATGCTAGAGGGTGGGAGAGTGAACTGGCAGAACCCACCAAAAAGGGAATCTGGCCATTTGTATCCACAAACTTAAATCCAGAAAATTCACTTCTAGGTATCAAATATTAGGAAATAATAATAGACAGAGAAGACATTTACAAGAATGCTCTTAGCAGCATCATTTATTTTTTTTTAAAGGAGATAGCTATCTGTAAAGGGCTGATGTTGTGATACATGGATATGACGATTAGATGTAATCAAAATCACATTTGAATAATATTTAAAGTTGAGGGAAAACATTGCACCTTCTAGAATGTCAAGTGAAAAAATATCAGTATCCCAAAGTATCTTGAATTGGTTAAATATATTGAATTTATAACTGCACGGGGCCAGGGGGAAAGACTGGAAACAAATAGATGAAAATGCTAACAATACGGTAATGTGGAGTGATTCGATTTTTTTCTTTTTTGAACTTTTGTTTTCCAAACTTTCTAGAAGTATATGTTACCTATTAATGAAATGAATTCTATTTCTGAAAGCGTGATTAAGTGAATTAGGTGTTCTCACAGGCACCCGCCTATTCCTGTGCATAAAGAGGGGTGAAATAAAGTGTTGGAATAATCACTGGGGATCATTCTTTAGGATTACTAAATTTATGTTTAGGTGGGCATTATTCAATCGGGTTCCTCTCCTCAGGTACTCCCTCCTTTCTAAAAGACCCCAGTTCTGGCAGGTCACCTAGAAGGAAGATTCCTTGAATAGCATGGGGTCCAAAGTGGAGGCGGCCTCTCAGCATGGACCCGCTTCAACTTCATCTGCGTGGCAGGCGTTTTGCAAGGCGTCCGAACGCATCTCCTCTTTGGACTTTTTGTCTCTCCTGGTAGTGTCTAGAAGTCATAAGAGTGAAAGACATCTTTCCTCCCTAGTGCTAAAAATGTAAAAGTGCGCGCTCAGGCGGCACTGCTCCTAGAAAGATCCAGGCCTCTTCACACCCTCAACCCCTGGCCTGGGTAGAGTTGGTAGCCCCGGCTTTTGGCTAAGCCGCAGGGCGCCCGAGGCCCACTGCAGGCCCCGAAGTGACCCAAGTGCACTCGTCCCTTACTCTGGCTGTGGCCTGAAGGCACTGGAACGGGAAGCTTATGCTGCACTTAAGATGCAAAGCGTAGATTGGCACGCTGGCTAAGACTGACTGAACACCACTGTGGCCCTGGGACAAGGAGCTATGGTCCCTCTGGGATCGACTAGGTGGAGAGAGAAAGAGAGAGAGAGAGAAAGAAAGAGAGGGCTGGCGCACTGGAGAGAGAAAGGTAGGGGAGGAAGAGGCAAAGGAACACAGGAAGGTTGTCCCTTCTCAGAGGTCGTACTTTGTCAGCAGTTCCCCTCGACTGCTCTGCCTTCCATTTTCCCTTCTCTCAGTTCCTGGACAAGCCTTGGAGGACCAGAGAGACGATCCTGAGCCCCTCGCGGCGTCTGCTCCAGATCCTCCACGCAGGCGTCCGATGGAGCGCCTGCCGGGGATGGCGTGGCACCAACTCTTGAGGCTTTTTAAAAAGTAAGAATTTCTACTTTATTATCTCTATGAAAAAAAAAAAAAAAAAGGTAAAGAGGAGAGATTAGATTCTATAGACGCTCCAAAGTCTGCCATTTCCGAGGAGGGTTTGCTTCCCACCCAACCAACCCACAGAAGCAGCCTGGACGGCCCCTCATCCTAACGAGCTCTGACTTCCCGGCTCGCCCCTGACCCCGACTTCACTTAGGGCGCGCGGTCGCGTAGGTAAGAACTCTACAGCAGCCACTCTGCTCGGGGGTCTTGGAGATCTTACAATCCCTAACCCGAGCTCCAGAAGGCCAGACGTTCTGTCTTGGGCGTCCTCCTTACCCTCCGGCCGCACCCTGTGCCCGGTCCTGACACACCCCAGCCCGAGCGCGCCCAGACGAGGAAGGCGCAGACTCTCCCCACCCGGCTCAGCCGCTTTCCTTCTTCTCGCAGCTCTCCAAGAGCTCGGTCATGAAGGAGATGTAGACGATGGCCAGGCGGAGGGTCTCGATCCGGGACAGCCTTTTCTCATAAGCAAACGTGGGCACCTTCCTCCGCAGCTGGTCAAAGGCCTCGTTGAGGTTGAACATCCGCTTCCTCTCGCGGATGTTGGCGGCCTGGCGCTGGGCGTAGGTGATCACCCTTTTCCTCTTGGGGCGGCCTAACAGGGAGGCGCCTCTGCCGCGCTCCTCTTCCTCCTCCTCTTCCCCGTCCCCCTGGTCCACTTCGCACTCCTCTTCTTCTGGGCCCCGCTCCTCAAACCGCGCCATCCTCCTGGGTCTTCCCTCTCGGAGCGCAAGGGCTGGGTCCCTGAAGGAGACCCCGGGTGCGAAGTCGCAGAGAGGGCGTCTCGGGGAGGACAGGGACAGGTCTGCAACGAAGCCCAGCACTGTGGCGTCCACGCAGCTCTCCGGATAGGACGCCATCGCTTCGGCTTGGCCCTGCCTCTCATCGGTTTTCCTCAGGGAGGGGCGAGGCTGCTGGTGGGGATTCTTAACAGCCTCGAATCTGATGGGGCACCATCACCGAAGGCCAGGGAACATTAACTATTTATAACCAAGCTGATAACAGGATTAGTTGCAGCGATAAGGAATGCTCTGACAACATCCCTCCTCTGGAAGCTTATGGAAGATGACAAGCTTGAGCACGCATGGAAGACTCAAAGGGACAGGCCTCCAGTTCTCAGATCCTTTTCTCTGCGCCACCCGGGACAGTTCCTTCTTGGCAACAACCCCCAGCTCTTACCTGCTGTGCTTTTTGTGTCTCTCCTCACCCCTGCAGCCAACTAATGTTCTCTAGGCTCCTTATCTCATGTAGTTCTTTAATTTCGTTTTGGATTTTCAAAGCGAGGATGTTTTCCAGCGCGATGGCTTCTCCTTGACTTCAGGGTAGGAGTCTTGAATCTTGCCACCATCTGCCAATGGATGTGGAGCAAGTGCATGTGCTTTTAATGATGTCCTGAAGAGGGGCCCTGCCTGCCTGGGATCGAGGGGAGTTGTTTGTCTGGTATCCCAGTGCAGCGGCTGCTGAAAGGCAAGACCTTCCATTAGCTTAAGTAAGCATGGCAGGGGGGCCGAGAGTGCATTCCCCAGAGTCGCTGTTGGAACCGGCTTTCTTTTTCTTTCCAGGGCATCGCAAACAGCTCTCCTGCCACGTTACAAACCCTGACTTCTAAAGTCTGTTTGGACGCAATCAGCTTAACAATTGAGATACTTGACTTTCCTTTCCTTACTTTTACCTCCTAGTCATGTAAAATAGAGGATTTTATTCCAAGAGGAAAAGTTATAATGGCAATAAATTGAGAAATTTAAGCTCAGGACATGTTCTATTCTCGGGCTTTACTGTATACTTTTCAGTGTGGGGACAAAGCAAACTCTCCCCACAAACAAAACCACTTCAAGCTCCTTTCAGAAATGCGATTTGCCCTTGATAAGCCAAGGAGTCAATCAGCTCACCCTCTGCTGAGGAGTCTTCCGACTTTTAAATTGCGGATCGAGTATTTTTTTCTGAACAAAGAAAAAACCTAACACTTCCATCTGGTGTATTTTCCTCATTGGTTTGTGTTGTCCTACAGTAAGATTTAAGAGCAGAAACAATGATTTATTGCATTATATTTAAGGGAGATTTTGGCTATCATTAGGTCATTATTTTTTGAGATAAGAAAGATTTTAAATTTGGCATGAGAAAAATAAGATTTTACTGATTTTATATTATCTCTAGTATCCCTAATATTTTAACAAAAGGGTTCTTTTTTTTCCTTGTTTGCCAATAATTATATTTACTTAATTAAACAGTACTGCGTAAAGATTTATTTAAAAGACCCATTGGGTCAAAGTGACAGATTAGAAGATAATTTTTAAGGTAGATTAGAAGAAGCAGCCTAAAAAGATGAATGTAGAAACATTCCTTTTCAAAAGAGGACCGCTGAGGACATCAGTCCCTATGAAGGGGGTAAGTTGTGGCTATGATGGTTCACTCAGTACATTGGACAGCTCCCAGAAACCGCCTATTTCTAACAGGTAATCTCAATTCATTTTGTTTTTCCCAGCCTCTTGGTGTGTAACCAAAACAGTATAACTTTGAATTCTTCTCCTTCTTCTTCTTCTTCTTTTAGCCCATTTGTGTCTTGTGTCTCTCGATCTTTTAGTAGATTTTATCTTCTTTTGCTTGTGTTTACCCTTCATTCTCCAGTTTGCATTGTGATAACTCAGTCAGAGAATAATTGAAATTTGTGATCCCGGAAGATGTTAATGAGACTGAGATCTTGGATATTACTTCGTTGATTTTTACTAAACTTCTTTCAAAGGGAAGTCTGAAAAACAAAAACTAATAGGTTTGTCAACAGTGGCTATGAATCTAGTAAATGGGAGAATTGATTTTTGTTTCAAAAAAGTACTAACATCCTTTCTAACCCTTGCTTAAATTAATATGTTATTAAATACTTGGGCAAATTTATTGTTGATTTTTAAATTATGTTAAATGCTTCTCGGTGACTTATTTTTTATTCCTTTACAACCCTATTTGCAAGTGGATTAAATGCCTCAATCAAGTGAGAATCTAGTTTCACAATATAATACATTGGGGCACTTAATGAAGGAAAACATAGTTGATACTTAAATTTAAAATGTCATAAAATGGGGGTCAGAAGCTTTCACGAGACTGTAAAGGGACAGTTTCTTTGGACTGAACTCCTTTATGATTTTAGCCAAGGGAATGTCTCTCCCTCTTTTTTCTTTTCTTTTTCTTTTCTTTTCTTTTTTCTTTTCTTTCTCTCTCTCTCCCTCCTTCCCTCCCCCCCCCTTTCTTTCTTTCTTCTTTCTCTCTTTCTTTTCTTCTTTCTTTCTTTCAACAGAGTCTCACTCAGTCATGCAGGCTGGAGTGCAGTGATACAATCATAGCTCACTATGACTCAAACTCCTGGGCTCAAGCAACTCCCACCTCAGCCTCCTGAGTACCTAGGACTGCAGGCACTGGCCATCACATCAGGCTAAATTGTTTTGTGTTTTAGAGAGAAGGTCTAACTATTTTGCTCTGGCCTCAACCAATCCTCCAACCTTGGCCTTCCAAAGTGCTGAGATTACTGGCCTGAGCCACTGCATCTGGCAGTGAATAGAGATTTCAGTAATCATATCTCAAAAGGAACTGTAGCAAAAGTAATGGAAGCAGTGCCCAGAATTGGGTTGAAATACTGGTATGAGAGTATTAAGAATTTTAAAAATGTCCTAATAAGTACATCTACAGCAAATATTTTTAAATGTTTTTGTTTTTATTTCATCATAAAAATCCCAGGATAAACACTTCTGTTTATACCACAGTCATTTTGTTTATCTTACAAGGCTATAATCATGCTAGTATAATTAAAGTAAAAAATGTTAAAACCTAAGTTATGATAATGAGTGCTTTTCATTTATGATTATATAATTAATAATTATAATTATTTTATTTATAATTTAATTATAGCAAGAGCAGTAAATTTATAAAGTACCAAGTGATGTTACAGTTCATCTCATTGGAGGGAACCATTATTTTCATTTCTAGATTTGAAAGTTAAGAGAGAGAGGTTCTTTAAAAACTCCACTGAGCACTAAAAGCAGCTAAGTTTAACCTTGATTCCTCTGGATTCTAGGTCTATAGTTTATAGTTATTCAGTGACCTATAGGGAGGTGTTTATAAAAAGTTTGATAACTCCTTCACAAATTTTGCTCAAAATATTTCAAGAAATGATTATGAAATGACAATCAATTTTGCTTGTTTGATTATCTAGTTTATTTCTGTTGACCATTCCCATTAGACATTAAACATTTTGTTTATACTATTATGTTAAGAATAGAAGCAAAAAAAATGACCAAGAATAACTTGCACCATAATTCTCAAATGAGCTGAAGCCTGGATTTAAGGGTGCTAAGGGGAAAAAGGTGGATAAATAAAGCATCCAGGAAGTAAAACAAATATATAAGTCCCCCCAATTTTTAAAACCATACCTTTCCTTTTCTTTTTCTTGTCCCTTCCTTTATTATTCCAGAAACATGAACTTGTAGGGCAAATGATAAAGATATGACAAAGGTAGATGTTTGTCATGATTGTAGGAGAAAGGCATAAGAGGTACTCCTGCTGCTGACCTGGAGAAGGTACCAACGTCTTCTTTCTATTCAATTTCAAATTATGTAGGTCATGGCTGATTTAGAGATAGAAGAATATATAATCACCTGTTTTGTTTCTTTCACTTCATATTTTAGGTAAACTTATTTTTGAAGTTCAGTGTATATACTTTAAAATTCACTAATCGTATATGTGCAGCTTCATGAATTTTCAGACTGAATGTATCCATGAAGCCAGTGCCCAAATCAAGAAATGGAATGCTTTCTTGAAGTTTGAGGTAATGTAAAAACAGATAAGCCTTAGGTTCATAGCTTGAGACTATTTCACAAAGTGAGCATGCCCATGTAACTAGCACACAAGACAGAAAACAAAACATTACAAGCATCCCAGATGACCTCCCCCACAATCTTGTGCCCATATTCAATCATTAACCACACCTCAAAATATTGCTATTTGATTTCTGAAGTTTTTGCCAATTTTTGAACATTTTATACAAATAAATTATATTCTGGATATGCTTGTGTCTTTCAGTAAACATTTTGTTTATGAAATTTGTGCATATTATTCTCATAAGTGAATAATTTCACTGTGTAAATGTACCACTATTTATTTGTTCCTTCCTTTTCTTGTTGATGAACATTTGGGTAGCTTCCAATTTTTAGTTACTACAAATAGCAGTATCATGAGGTTATTGTACATACTTTTTTGTAAGCACAATTATCCTTTCTTGTTTGGGATACACCTAGAATTGGAATAGTTTATGCATATGTTCAGTTTTGGTGGTTACTATCAAATTGTTTTCCAAAATGGTTGTAACAATTTGCACTGTCACAAATGATGTATTGGAGTTCCAATTTCTTCTCATCCTCACCAATACTTGCCAGTTTCTATCTTTTTAATTCAAGCTGTCTTAAAGATGTGTATGGGTATCACATTGCAGTTTTATTTGCATTTCCCTAATGATAAGTAAAATTGAGCACCATTTCATGCTGGCTGATTAGGTACTGGCTCTTAAAGTACTGCTCCACTGTTTTTTGTGGATTTTTCTAATTTGAAAAATTGATTTATATAAATATTCTGGGTATAAGTTCCATGTCATATATATGTACTACACATATCTTCTCCCAGCTCTTTGGCTTTCCTTTTCATTCTCTTTATGGTACATTTTAAATTTTCATTTATATTTTTCCAAATTTTTTATGGCGGTAAAATACATAAAACATAAAATTTACCACTTTACCTATGTTAAATACATTCATAATATAGTGCAACCATCACCATCATCCATCTCAAGAACTATTTTAATTTTATAAAATGGAGACTCCATATTTATTTAAAAAGTAACTCCTTATTCTCCCCTTTCCTCAGCCCCTGGCAACCACCATTCTATTTTCTGCCTCTATAAATTTGACTTCTCTAGGTAGCTCATATAAGTAGAATTGTACAGTATTTTTCTTTTTGTGACCGGCTTATTTCACTTAGCATAATGTCCTAAAGAGTCATTTATATTTTAACACACATTAGAATTTCCTCTTTTTAAGGTTGAATGATATTCCATTGTATGTATATCCCACATTTTGTTTAACCATCCATCTGTTGAGGGACACTTTATCCAAACATCATTTTGAGATCCTGCTTTCAATTTTTTGGATGTGTCCCAGAAGTGGAATTGCTAATAATATGGTAATTTTATTTTTAGTTTTAAAAGTAGTTTTGTATTCTTTAACCAACCTCTTCCTATCCTCCCCTCCCGCTACCCTTCCGAGACTCTGAAAATCACAATTCTGTTCTCTATTTCATGAGCTCAACATTTTTGCACCCACATATAAATAAGAACATGTAAATTATTCTGTGCCTGATTTATTTCGTTAAACATAATGTCCTCTAGGCTCATTTGTACTGCTGTCGAGTTTTAGTTTTTTGAAGAAACACTAGACTGTTTTTCACATTGGTTCTACCATTTTATATTCTTACCAACACTGTGCAAAGATTCCAGTTACTCCACATCCTCACCAACACTTATTTTCTGTTTGTTTGTCTAGACAGTAGCCACCTTAA